GAATATTTGATGAAAACTTACCTTCTCTTTGTCTCTCACAATTTATGTAAATATACATACACATACATTCATCCGTATAGAATTTGAAAATGACAGTTTTTTTGCTGATCATTACGTTTACTATATGAATTTTGGTTTAGATTTTTGCCTGTCAACCAATAATAGGTTGACTCATCATTCTTTCTTAGACCTTTAAACCTTTCACTACCCCATTTTACTGAGTCACCTTGGTCTAAGTCAAGCTATTCTTTTTCGTGTTTTGGCACTTCCGACAGCAGCCTTAAGCCTTTGCCCCTAATACCATGGGTGGTCGTCTCAACCTCACCCTGCGCTGTAATCTTTCCTTATAGCTTTCTCATCCGGACATGGTTGAATTTCAGCACGGCGGGCACTGAATGTGATGCGGAAACTGTCAGATTTGCAACCTGAAAAAGATTCCAATTGCGATTAGGTTGACCTCAATTAGCATCAATGTAAATTTGACATTTTGTTCATGGAATTTTAACAGAAGTTAGATATATAATGACCGGAAATTCCTCGGATTAACATGCTTGAGCAAGATTCCCTTGCGATTAGGTCGATTTCAAGTAATATAATGTAGACACAATTCCGATCGCACATTTTTGTTCAATAATTTTTTGTTCAATAATTTTGCTATAATAACTGAAAAAGAAGAAAGTGATCTTAATATGAAATTAATTATATCAATAGATATTTTATAAACATCTATGGCATGAAGTAAAAATCATACAAAAATGAGGTTTACAGTAATCAAAAGAATGAATCTTTACCTTTTTTTATTGACCATTGCATTTTTTTTTCATTGGATTATGATGTTTTGAATAATGTACAATTTTGCGCGTGTTCGAAAGTGTTTTCTATTTTTTTATTGAGTGATGTGCGGCGCGCGCGCGTGCGTGTGTGTGTATGTGTGTGTGTATGTGTGTGTGTGTGTGTGTACACAATATAGCCTATTTTATGATAAAAATATCCCTTCTTTCGTTTTCTCTCCTCATCTTTTCTTCTTAAAAAAAATCATTCTTTAGAAAATTTTCTTTCTGAACTAGGAACGTTATAAAAAATAATTTTTTATGTAACGTTATTATACATTTATTGCAAAAATATAGAATATAAAAAAGTATTTATACTGGAATTATGATTTATAAAGGTAAAGCAAAGTCAGATAATACAAATAATATAAATTTTGTGCCCTGTGTTTAAAAAGATAGTTTAAGTAAGCTATCCCTTTTTGGGATAATTTACTCTCAGTTTCTATTTTTTTGTTTAGAATTCAAGGCATAATGCTACCTTTATATGACAAAACACACGCGAGCACATTCATACAGAAATAAACGTACGTGTTAGAAAACGAGGCCTGGTGCGAGCCCATAACCCGATATTCGAATACAGAACCGTCTGTCAGAATCGAGAATCGAGAAAAGTATCGGATTAGAAGGAGAAGAGGGGATATCGTTAAAGATGTTTTCTAATCTCAAGATCTTCCGAGGCACGTCAGCCTGTGTATTCATATTCTCTCCAATAAAATTCTATCTCAATAATTCTAGAAAATTAAACAATTTTTTATTAAATTTTAAATTTTATTAATTAGATTAAATTAAATTATTATAAAAATAGTTCATTATAAAAATTATAAAAAACAATATTTAAAAAAAAATATTTCAAAATATTTATGATTTACCTTTTTTTAAAGACGTTATTTCAAGAATTTTGATTATTATACAGGGAAAGTATAAATTTCCAATTCCAGTTACTTGTATTACTACATGCTGATACATCCTTAAAACATATTAAGAATGTTGAAAAGTAAATAGCAATGTGTAGAACATCATTTATCTTTAGTCTCCAAGATGATGAAAGATGATCGCACTTTGAAAATTTCACAACATCGTTTTTATTTACTTATTGTGACACTTGTTGAAGCTACAAGTTTGTACAAGATCATTCAGCGCCATCAGCGCAACGAAGAATAGTTCTGCAGGCGAAAGAAACAATTCATTATCGGTGCCCTTAAAGCGGAAAATCCACTCAGGCTTTGAGGGATCAATCATTCTGTAGTGTGGCCACGACCTTTGTCTTTTTACTTCTATACGACATCCGTTTCCGGTCCTTATCTTACGTTACACATGTAACCACCAAAGTTCTATTCGACCCATTGTTGGCCACATGTGCCTGATCTCGAGAAGTTTGCTTATGTTGGCCCATTTAACAAAACGAAGCTATACGATTAGACCTGAGTGTAAACTCAAGCATCGAATCCGCGAAATCACTATAGATAATTCTATCTAATTGTCGTATGATTCGACGAACAATTCGACTGTTCTTTGACAGTGCAGCCGGCAAAGAGGATGGTCTCTCTGACTTGCCCTTGATGGATGTATCCTAAATATATTTTGTTTCGGCGCGAACACTAATTAATGTACATTTATAAAGAAATTTAAAAATTGAGTTCTTTCCAACTTTCTGCAAAATATAACATAAAGAATCTCCTTCTCACATAAATATTACGAGATTATAAAACTTGTCAGAATTCTAAGCTGATAATTTTAAATTCGTCGTACTTACAATTTCGCTAGTTTACGAAGATACATGATGTTTGATTCGGGAGTCTATGAAAAGTTTCATGGGTTAACTTGCTACATTTATCCAGGATTATTCCTCGATACCTCGTTTTACGCAAGGGAATTTATACAAGTTTCTGCCTGTGTTACAAACGTAAGCAAGGACGAGTATCGTCCGCTCCGTTGGCTCGGAATCGACGGGATCACGTTGAATCTCGTAGAAATCTCGTTTCCGACGGCAGTGACAAAGCGTTCGTGACACGTTTCAAACGTTGCCAATTTTTTCTTTCTTCTGACTGCAACCGAGAAAAAATTGTATTATCAAGAATAAATATTTTTGTTTATAAAATTTTTTTATATTATATCAAAAATATTTTTATTATTCCAGTACTAAGAAAAACTATGTAGCAAATCTGCATAAACAAATCTATGTTAAACTGACATATAAGTATATCTAAATCAAAGAAAGTTCAGTTAAGCCTATAGAATAAATAAGAATTAACATTAAGAATTCATATCCGATCTACTATAAAAAATTATAGGTTAAACTTAGCGTCTATTATATGTTTGAATTAAATAATAAATGTTAATATGCTCAATAATAAATAATAAATTAATAATATAGATAGATGTATGTACTTCAATTATTTTCAAATATAATATAGAGATTAATTCTACATTTTCTTTCCTTTTTCTGTAAATTTCTATATTGGACCTTTAATTTTTTGTGCTATTTCATTAACTTCTAATATTAAGAATATAAAAATCTTTCCAAAATCTCAAATTGATAAGCGAAATACTCGGATTCCTCATTTTGAGATTGTAAGATTGCGTCTAGTTTTACTCAGGGTGAAAAGATGATGAAAAATTGATGGAGAAGGGGGAAGGAAAGAGGGCGAAGAGTAAAAGAAAGAGAGAGAGGGGAAGAGAGAGAGAGCGCAAGCTCTCTGTGTTGACTTTGGCTTGCAGCCTCCAATTTCAGCGACGGCAGCGGCGGCATGGATGGAAATATCGGCCGCTAAAATAAATCGACGACAAAGACCGGCGATCCAACGACATGCTCACTCGCTGGAATGCTTGATCAACGAGCCCTTTCCCTTACCGAAGATAACAATCCCGCACGACAGATTGCGATCGGAATTGCATTAAAAGCAACCCGATTGAAACTCATATTTCCGCGTTAGTCTCATACATTTTTTCCAAAATTTTAGATTGTTTCTTCATTAATTAGAATCAAAAAAGCTATTCAACTAGAAGACATGACTAATTGTGAAACAATTAATTTCTCATGTTTTCTAGCTGGTAAGTTAAAAAGATGATTTGCTGCTTCAATAGAGAGAACTGGAGCAAATAAATGTGAATTGAAATATAAGAAAACAGAATGTATAGATAGAAAAACATATTCTGGAAAAATATATTCTTCAATAAATTCCTTACAACATTTTAAAATAATTATTAAATTAATGATCAATATAAGGTATGATTATGTTACTTTCAGCTTTAATTGGTGATTATATTTCAAGTACAATAAGCCGAATCGATGTGCATTTTATAGAATTGAAAAATATATTTATAAATCTACATATAAATATTATTTAACATCAAGATTTGCTTGGATAGAAAATAGAATTCTATCTCTTATTTGATTTATTTTTATTGGTCTAATTCACACACTTCTAGTTGAGAAATATATTGTTTCCAATATATGCAGAAAGCAAGTATAGATAAAGCTTGTGTTTTAAAAAATTAACAAAACAAAAGTATTAACAAAAGAAAGAACAGAAAATTTTCTCTATTATTAATTCTATAATTAATCAGGATTAAATGCACATTTAAATAATGAGAATCTTAACACGATGCAATTCGAATTAAAAAATTAATTTTTCTGTTTGCAGTGTGCTTACAGAATTGGAACTTATTGCTAATCTTATCAAGCTAATCTTAATTAAAATTAAAAATATATGCTACATTTTAAGTACTTCATACATTGTGACATTCGTGACCGCCTCCTGAGCACGAAAGGATCGGTATATTTAAATCAAAAATCCCGTGCGATTTGTCGCCTAAAAGTGACGAATTCATCGTGCGGTTGTTTTTCTTTTTTTTTCTTCGAATCAAAAACATTTCCCATACCTATAAATCCGCGCGCGGATGCACGCAATGACTATCGTCGGCGACATAAGCCGACGCATTGAATTGCGACGTAAACGTCACGCGTATATCCGGGAAGCTGTGATAGTGCGACGACGAAGAGAGGAGGGACGCACGGCGTCGTTCAGCGTCTCTCTGTTTAGCGTTCGCGGAAAAAAGGGACGTTGGAGGAGAGAACTCGCGAGACGTGGGAAAGCTGGCCGGATGAGGGACGAGCGAGATGCTCGTGACCATTCACCTGTCAACTGTCTTCCTCCGCGCCGTGTCCCGTCATCGGTGATGCTGCTGTTGCTGCTGCTGCTGTTGCTGGCTCTTCTTCTTTTTCCACCTTCTTCTCTGTTCTCCTTCACGGTGGCACATCGGCAATGCCATCGGCTGGCTCACGTAGTCGTGCCTACCAAAACATCTTCGACGATCCTCCATTTGACTCGCCATTCAGCACCGGTGAAACAGCTTAATATAATCCTATTTAAGAAGACGACCATTGTGGCGGGACTCGGGGAAATCGATGGAACGTGACCGAAATTATTTACTCGTTTATTAGGATCCACATAGATTTGAGATTAGAATTCACATTTGACGCACGCGACAACGTGAGTTCAATGACGAGATTGTAAGAAGTAATCGGCATTCCGTGACTTCTAACTGTGTATCTCACTAATCGATAATAAGATAATCCAGTTATTTAAAAAAATCACCCTTCCCCGATTAATTAGTAAAAACATTATTTTATCAATAAATTTATAATTATATTTATAAATATGTTATTTTTTAAATAAGTATGTAATTAGAAATATAAACATTTATCCCGCGTATTTGTTATTTTAACTTAAAACAATGGATAAAACAACAGATGCTTCGCAATGCGGCAACGAGTTAAGACATCGAGTTTGTCTTTTTATTAGAAGGCTTGCTGAGGAATCGCGATTTCTAGGTATAGATTTCGAAAACGCGATAGTTGGCGGAAAGGATACAAAACGACGACTATATATAGGTAGACAAATTCTCAGCCATGTGTTCGTAAAGTGTTCCATGGAATGCCACGTACGTGTCCAATCTTTGAGAATTCGTGTGCCACATGAGTGCAGGGCGGGGAAGTGCTGTCAACGAATTCGGGTAAAGTTCCTGTATTACGGAAGAAAAACGGCATTTTTACGTGACACACCAGACACGCTACTCGCGCCCGTCGAGGTGTCAACGACTTGACCGATGGATCGCCATCAGATTCTCTCGGATTCGTGCCTGGATCACACACTTGCGACGCACCCAGATCGCATGATCGATCGAGAACCTCCGTGACGACGCTCTTCCGATCGACCGACTAGTGGTCCTCGCGTTCATGTTAACCTTTTTGTGATCCGCGCTAAGGTAAAGTACGTCACGTCGATGAAGACACATCGGGCATAAAATTAGAGCCATTCACTCCTCCTCGGCATTGTGCCCAACTTTTATTGTCCGTTTGTTGAAGCTAAAGTTACATCATCTTTCAAGTTAGTGATGTAAAAATTTAAGAATCTATAATAATGATTTGACAACGCGAAGGAATTCGAAAGCTTCGAGAGATATCTAACAATTTCAACATGGATTCATCGACTTTCATACGAGATGGACTAAAATGCGATATAAAAAAAATAGGGATTTGATATAATGGACCCCGAGAGGAGCCTGCGATCCAGTCGCGTCCGATCGTGCCAGGACAGTCGATCGTTAACGTTCGAGATTCGAGAGTCGCGTGAGCATCTCCACTTCTCGCACGTAAGGTCACATTGTTTACGGGCGATGGGGCCCCGTGTCGCCCCTTGGAATGATATCGCATAAATAGCCGTGCGCGCGTGAGTCGTCTTCCACGATCTTCCACGACGAGACCAGTCATCGTCTCTCCGGTCGCCGCTCGTCTTCCATTGTTGCGCTCTTCTCGATGCGCAGGAATCCCGCAGGATGTGTCACTGGCTGTGACGCAGCAACCTGCGCGCAGAGCAGGTCGAAGTGGCGACGACGGCGGTGGCTGCAGTGGCGGGGAGGCGGGTTTTTATTGTTGCCTTCGAAAAATGACCACACGAATTTTTTTCTCTCAGTTCCATTGAGCTCCTCCTGGAGAGCCTCGAGGAACCCCTCTCGCTCAGAGCTGCCTCGGACTTCGGAGTCGGGGGTCGGGGCCCGCACACTGAACCGGCTTTGCGCGGTTTCATTCATAATACCAGCCACACCGGGCCCCGAGGCTGCCCGGGGCTACCCGGGGCCAGCTCGGATCTCGAGTGGAGGACTCGAGCGCGCGAAGTGGACCGGATGGTATTTCACTTCTTGACAGCCGTCGCTCCTCCTCGTTCGTTCGTTCGAATTACGAGTATACCGAAGCAGGCATTTTGCTTACTGTATAAATAGTCACCGTGCGATATATAGATGATCCGTGCGAGTAGCATCGACTGCGAGGTAGAAGAGGAGGTAGATCCCGATAATGGCGCGGACCGGTGAGATGTGTTGGTATATATTAACGGGTACGTTCCTCTGTCGACGTGTCAAAGAATAGTAGATCGGTTGATAATGAGAGTTAACGGTACTGAAATATCACGAAAATTACGTTCCTCTATGCTATGAGAAAGGAGGAAACTTTGTGTGATATTTACGCTTCCTCTTAGCTTTTGTTATCTACTGCAATAAAGAAAATAGTTCACCTAATTCTCTGTAGATTTATAAGTTATTGATTCACTCTAGTCCTTTAAATATAAAAGTACAACGAAACTGCGGTTAAAATTAACAATACTAATAAAGTTAATCTTTTGTGCGTTATGTAATTCGATGATAAATTTTGTTCAACTTTGCGATTAAAAGATTAATGAGAGGAGTAACAAAACATCATGATTTTCGCAAGTCTATTCTACAAAATCATTTATCTTTCCCCGCTTCGAGCAAGGATACTGATTGAATATTATGTTACAAAAAATTCATTATCATTTGTGCTGCCGAAAGCATTTTCTTTTTCTTAAGAAAAGATAAACATTTAAAAACGGTATTATTTATCAATTATATAATTGATCACTTAAAATTCAATTATATTTATCTCGAAACATTTTTATCTTTTTTTCTTAGGAAAAGAAAATCGCCTTTCTTGTAAGCTTGTAAGAGAAATGAGATTATTTTTCGGTATCTCTCATGTGAGATAAAAATTCTATATTTAAAAAAATCATATTCAGTATCATGATATTTCGATAAACGTGACAGATGATTAATGTTGATATGGCATATTGTAAAGTAGCCAGGCTGTCTAACGCGAGAACAGGAATTTCGGTGGAATTTCACCTTACCCCGTTAAATATTTGCTTTTTTCGCGAGGCTCTCGAGCGTCGCTTTGACGCCTCACCGCAACTTCGGGTATGCTGACGATGATTTTGAACTTAGTGTTAACTCCACGTGGGTGACTTCAAGAACCTCGATTTTCAACCACGGCTAAGGACAGACAATGCGCGTCCGATCTTCTTACAATTCTCGATATTTATTATACATACATTTATACGACGATGCATCGACTTATGCATCAAAATATTGACGGGAAATACAATTTCCCGAGAGTTTCACGAATCGCACCACAGGAGAGTAAATGCTAACTGTATTTGCAAAACAATTTTGTCCTCATACCGTAAATAAACGTGCAAACAAAACCTGCTTAGATACCTGAGAAATTAACAACAAATATGTCGAAAGATTCGCAGGAAACGTGATTTGAATGATTAAAAATAATAATGTAATTAATCGGATAGCACAATAAGGTTATGAAAAATCTAGAATTCGAATAGAATCTTGAATAGCTTCGCCATCGTGCGTCTCTATAACCTAATTTCTCGGGTTCCCGTCGTTAAAATTCGTTACCGGCCGCATTTATTTTTATTCCCATTTCCCGAGGTAACTAGCAGACGGCTTGGCACCACACGCACACGGTGCCATCATCGAGTGGCACACCCGAGTATTATTCTTCCGGTCGACTCATCGATCGCCGGTCCATTTTATGTGCTGATTTATCGCCTGTTTGCTCTCGTCCGGCAGTGAACTGCAGAAATGCGGCGAATGACCGATTTACGATCGACGACCGCAGGAGACATAGGAAGCGAATGAAGGCCGTGAAATCCATGTAAGCTTACATCCCCGGAAAATAAATATTATCACTTTTAAAATGATTAACAGATAATTGCATTTACATAATATATAAAAATAGAAACGATTGGATAATTAAATAATAGCTTACGAAAGTCAATAATATGTGTGATTTAATTCCTGTTACTTTAAAAAATATTATTTTAAAGTGATTAGAATTATTTATTCAAAAGCCTTACAACGTTTTACTTGTTAACGCCAAATGTAAAATAATAATTTGAAAAACAAAAAGAAGTGGGAAATAATGTCAATATTTTATCAATTAGACATTGATTTATGCGTATATTTATGACATAAATTAATTTCAAATGTCCGAATAGGCTGCTATTTATATTTGTCTTTGATTTTCTATCCTATATACAATAAAGTTATTTGCGAGGGTTGGAAGGGTTAATTGGTCGACAGTTTGCTTTCGGTCTTAGCGGTGGGTTCTTATGGCTTTTCGAGAGCAGAGGAGAGTAGTGCGTCGCGCGTCGGGAGGTTTTGCTATCAAACGGCTGAACGCCTCCGAAGACGAATGTCCCGCGCCACCCTCGAGTTTTCATCTCTCTTTCGTCGGCTCCTTTCTTTCCCCATCAAGCATGCATCCTCCTCCTGCTCCTCCGCCTCCTGGTTTCCATAAAGACACGCCAGCTTTCATGCCCCATTACCACTGCTTTGAAACACACCACGGCGGACCAATGAGCTTTTTTATTGCTCTATTATTGGCAGCGCGGTTCACCGAGCCCGCTCAACGGCGGGCCTCGCAAAAGTTGCCACGGCGCGATTCCACAAAAAGCCGCCGACCGTATTCCTTTAGCATTGCCGCGACGAGACGGCAGGTCGGCAACCAAGTAGCTTCCTCCATGAGAAGTTATCTCTTAATTTAAAGGCTGGCTGAGTTCTCCCTTCTCTCGAGTGTCGTCTCGTTAACGTCGTGTTTGGCCTTCGAACAATATTGGCCGCAATCGAAAGAATTCAGGCTTAAGTACAATTAATGAAAAGATGTATGCTCATCGCTATTTACTTTGATATTGTTATACTACTCGTTTTGATAAAATATTAATATTTTTTTTATGTTGACTCAGAAAAAAAAATTAATCAATCATATCTGTAAATGAAACTAGGAAAATGAAAGAGGAATAAATCTTATAATTTACGGAAATCATGATATCGTCAGAAGCTTGCGATCACTGGATTACGAACGTCTGACGCTTTATTTATTGACCCGCCAACTAACTCTTTTCCGGAGGAGAGAGATCCACGGTTAAATCGATAGAGCAATCCAAGTCAATCCTCTTAATCTTCAA